TACTTTACCGTTATAGTGTTGATGGCCCTACAGTCGGCACACATCTTCTAGGTTCCATCTTTCTTTAGCACAAGTAGCACGACACATCATATGAACTCATACTCTTCCCCACATACCATTTGTTCGTCAATTTTTCCACTCGCCTTTAAAGTTTCTTAGTCTCCTCGGAATTACTCCAATGCGCCAGCCTATTTGGAATGATAGCTCCAAGTACAAAATCAATTTGATGTTCAATGCCTCAAATGGGTGATAGCCCACTAGCCATGTCTTCCGAGAACACGTCTTCGAATTCCTGCAACAAAGAAGTAGCCAAATTAGGGATGGGTGTTTTAGATTCCTTAAAGTTGAGGAGTGATTTCTTATAAACCAATAAGATCATAGGTCGGTTCTCAACTATTGCCCTCTTCAACTCACTCCATTTTACAAAGAAATTCACTTTCAACTTTTCTCTACTCTCATAAGACTTTTTTGTATTTACTCTCTTGTGGCTCTACTCGTTTTTCGTCACAATTAGGCCCATCATTATTTTCTCTCTTACTCTCTTTTGTGAAAGATCAATCTCACTCTCTTTTTCTCTCAATCTTTTTTCTTCCTCACTTTTCAATTTGAATTGATTTTCAAACACTTGTTGTGGTGTCAACGGCTCAAGAGTAATAGATTTCCCATTCTTAGTAAAACCCTACCTATTTTTGTACCCATCATGAATCACATTCCTATCATATTGCCATGGCCTTCCCAACAAGATATGCCCCGTATGCATAGACACTGCATCACATATCACTTCGTCATGATACCTCCCACTTGAGAAACTTACCAACACTCTTCTATTCACCTTAACATCTCTGCATTCATTCAACCATTGCAATTTGTAAGGCCTAGAATGTTTTAGCTTAGTTAATCCCAATTTTTCAACAAGTGTAGTGCTAGCTACATTAGTACAACTAGCCCTCATCAATAATCATACTACATACCTTATGGATGACGTGTCATCTCGTATGAAATATGTTCTCTATTTGTTTCTCCAAGTCATCCACTTTGATTTGAGCATTAAGAGCTCGTCGTGTAACCAATATCTCTCTCATTGCATACTTCACTTTCTCACCATCACTAGCATCTTCTAATTATGGCATGTCATCATATTCACCCTGACTTACCACTTCTCCATTGTCTCGCAAGATCATCTCCATTTCGTTTGAACATTGAAAAACAATGTGTCCCGTTCCCAACTACCTAAAACATTTGATATCCTGATTCTTAGAGGGATGGGAATCCGCCTTGGATGTAACATTGTTAGTAACTTCCTTCCTTCCCTTCGGTAGCTCAGTCCTACTTTTTGAAACAATCCTTTCACCTTTAAGGTTATCGAAGAGTTAGAACCCGATGAATATCTAGATGTCCCCTTCCTCTTCAATTACCTTTCCATCTTCATATCTACGTGTAGCATGTCTTCCAACTCCACATAATATTGCAACTCCACCATCCCATTCAAACCATTCAATAATCGGGTCATGGTGGCCTCCCTATCCTCCTCAACATTCGATCTAATCATATCAATCTTCATCTCCTTGTGATAATCATCCACACTCCTAGAACCTTGGTAGAGGTTTTGCAATTTTTGATGAAGCTTCCTATAATAATGATTAGGTACGAACCTCTTTCTCATGATAGCTTTCAATTCTTCCCATGTATTAATAGGTCTCTCACTGTTCCTCCTCCTGGATGTTACTACTTGATCCCACCAAATGATAGCATAATCGATAAATTCACATACCACAATCTTTACCTTCTTTTCCTCTGAGTAGTTGTGGCAATCAAATATCAACTCTACGTTCTTTTCCCACTCCAACTATGCTTCCAGATCACTCATTCTTTTGAATGAAGGAATTGTGATATTGGTCATACTTCTCTCAACACCATTTCTAACAAGATCGCTACCCCTCATTTCAAGCCTAACTCATTTATCTCACATTCTTCCTAATTCGACATCCACCAATGAATCCTCTTCAATGTCACTATCCGCTCACATTCACCAGCAAAATCAGCTCTATGATCCCGCCTTCCTTGCGTTAGGAATTTCTCTAGGTTGTTCCCTACGTGAATTAGCAACAAATGTGTCTTGTCTATCCAATTTGTCTCCCACATCCTCAAACAACTTTTCTAACCATCGTATCATCTCATCTAACATGTTGACTTGATTATTATTCCTGCTTGAAGTAGAATCGTCTAAATTTGATATCCTAAATCTAATTTAATATTTACCTCATGCGTATACGCTCGCGTATTACTCAAATTAGCTTTTCCATGTATTGGTCTCACCACTCTTGCCTTTTCCTCCACTCAATGCTTTCTTGCAAGTGTTTCAAAGAAATAATTGGATCTCAATCAAAATTTAATCCTTGTAGAGTTTCAAACAAAGATTTAAGTAAGGAAAATTGACTCTAAAATGACTCAAGAGGTATGAATTGACACTTTGAATGGAACACTAACGAAAAATTTAAGAAGGTGTTTATTGAATTTGAATTAGACACTTTTAAATTTGGATTTTTTTTACTCAAAAAATGAAATTGTATGCTGCTGTCAATTTTTCGAATTTTTTATTTTTCTGTTCGAAAATTCAACTAGATACCAAAAATATAAAATGATTTGGATGCTAAATTATCACGCAAACAAGTTTTCTTTTTTTGTTTGTACTTTATGCATTAGAGACTAAAAAATGACGTACGCGAAGAATGAAAAACAAAAGACTCAAATAAAAAGAAAAAATGATATGACCTTGATTTTTGGAGCATTGCTTTGATACCAATTGATGCAAACCTTCATAGCAATAGTAGCTACGAAACGCACACAAGATTGAGTCAATCCCAAGAAAGCCAAGAATCAATATTTAAGATTGATTCAAAAATATAGAACCAAGGAACCAACACAATCACCGACAATATGTTGACCTAATGATTACAAGACTCAAAACTCGCACTCAATTTGTTTGAACGCCACAAGAAATAGTCTCGATAAATTCAGAATTAATTGGATGAAGAACAAGAAGAAAGTAATAATACCTTACAATTAATCTCTTAATAATTGTCTGTTGTATAATGAAAATAATAATTCTATTTATGTGAAATCCATAAAACCCTAGTAGAAACGGAATTAAACTCTAAAATAACAATAGATATTACAAAATAGAGTTTTAACTAAAATAGAAAATTGCGCGAAATTTGAAAAATTCGCGATCGAAAATATACTATACGGCGCATAGTATAAATCTATGCGACTGTATAGACCATCTAAACTCCTCCACTTTGGGGTTCGATAAAGGGTCATGCGACCACATGCCCTGTTCCTTCCAACTTTTCAATCCATTACTTGAATCAAGTTGTTCCACTTCATTTCATTTCCCATGGCAAATATGAAACTTGTCCATTCACTTATCGTGATCAATGTTTCGTCCACCGTGACTTGAACAAGTAGTCTCATTACTTCTTTGATCAGCTTCGCTCGTGACCTAGTCATATGTTATTCCTTAACGATCAATGGATCTTTACCCAAACTTGCTCTCATATAATGAATCACATCAGTATTCCATAGTTATGACACTTGTACATTTCATCTGTCATGTTACCAATTCTGTTAGAGCTGAGTAAGAGATATTATATCGTGAGTAACGTTCAATACTTCAACAAGTTTAATGGTCAAAACTTGATATTTGCAATTTCAGCGAGCAATCAAACATAAGTTAAGTGATTATTGTGGGGATTGATGAGAGAAAAAATGAAAAAAAAAAAAAAGATAAGATAAGAAAAGGAAAGAAATTTAAATAAACGAGAGTGTACAAAAAGATTAAAACGAGAAAAAAAAGGGTAGAGATAATGAGAGTAGAAGACGCAAAAATGGAAAACCTGACTCACAAAATGAAATGATGTTCTTTTCTTTTGATTTTTAACTTTAATTAATTATGTAACTTCATCTGAATTAACATGAGCCGAAAAATGATCAGAATCGGTGCGTGTTTGATTCCGTAGATTTAATCATTTTTATTTCGTTTATGATATGTTGGTGAACGTTAAATCCTATAAATGATTCGATTTGTTCTACCTTTTTCGTATCTATTTTTTTCATAGAAATATTTCAATGGTGAATGTACGCCGTAAAAGTTAACTGTTTCTCTGTTCGATGGTGTTGGCGATTGATCATTTGTATACTTGCTTCTTTGATGGATAACTCAATATGGCATACTTTTTATTCCCCCTTTTGGTTGAGATTTTGTACACAGATCGGGCATTTATAAACGGTATTAGTTCTGAATATTTACATCTTTATATATTTTTTCTCTTTTTAATTAAATGTTGATTGGGGAAGAAATAATGGCATCATCGTTCTCATCTAAGAGTTGCGTCAAATTGCCTGTTGTTTTTATGTACGTGGCTTTATATTTTGCATCTGCACGATTTTTAGCTTCTTATACCTGCACTTCAATTGAAAATTCGTGTGTAGTCGCTGCATTTGCTGCAAATTGCAATTTATGGGATTACATTCTATAATTGTCTCTAGAAAATGTGGAATCTTATGCACCAACTATGTGTTAATTTAATGCGATCAATTTTTTGAACTAAATATGAGTATATCCTGACTAGCTTCTATCTGATTTTCTGTTCTGTTTCAGGTACTCAATTTGGTTCTCAGGGTTATGTGCTTGGGTTTGGTTTGTAGTAGAAATGGAATAACTGGTAACTGAAAGTCTGATACTATGATTTTGTTAAACAGATGGAGTGATCTGAGAACTCATTTAGTTGGATTCTACTATTTATTTTTCTGAACAGATTATCCTATAGTTTGAATTTAAATTTTGTTAAGTTATTTTTGGATCGAGAATTGGGAAGCAAGGTTGAGATTATTTTGTTGGACTGAGAATTCTAATTACCAAATAAAGTTAAGCTCCATTCGTAAACAACAGGAAGGAAGACAATCTGTAAGAACTTGTTGAGTTTTGTGGAGAAATACTGATGGGATTGCCCCAAGTTTCATCCAGTGAAAACTCTGAGGTTAGTGGCTCGCTTACCTCGTATGTCTACAATGCCTCTCAATTTGGTGGTGTCGGCACGTGTAATTTGAATGGGATTCGTATGGGAGCTGTGAGCCAAACATGTGGGGACTCGATATATTCTTCTTTAGGTGATTTTCGATGGAAAACCTCATTGGAGGTTTCAAAATTTCCTGATTATGCGTTAAAGAAAGAGCATTTGGATGTTAATCCCAATTTTCATATGTCAAATATTCACATCAACGAAGTGGTTGAATCAACTCCTAAAACTAGACGGAATATTCATGCTATTTCTAGGATTGTTGGTTTCGAATATGAGAAAGATATCCTCTCTGATAGATTAGATGGTGTATCAGCAAATCATGTTCACGCTACTTCTGCCAGTGTCATAATGAATGATACTGATACCAATGGATCTCTTGTTAGGAAGCGAATGCTGTCTCCATTGAATAGGATGCTTCTGTCCGAGCAATTTAGGGGTGATATTTTAGATATTGGCAGCAGAAAGTTTCATCATAGTTCTCAAGCGAAAGATGAAATATGTGGTACTTCTTCGGTGCAAGACAATAAAAAGGCAAATATTGGTAGGAAAAATCACTCTACAGCACCGATTTGGTCTTTGTCTAACTGTACAGAACAGATTGATGTGTTGTACAACTACAGTAAATCAGCCTCCGTATTTTTCACTGATGGACCTATATTAGATGACAAAGAACTACACCCCTTTACCTGTGTACCTTCATCTACATTTGATCCTTTGGTAGAAGCAAGTGAGGGCAGATCACTCTCTGGGCCAACATCAAAAGAGCAAATCTCACTCCCACTCTCTCGGTCTCCCTTAGGTCCAAATTTTTTTGATAGAACGAGATCTGCAGGCTGTGGCAGGAATATCTGGAAAGAGACAAAAATCGTAGGAAATATATCTTATTCCGCCAAGGAAAACCACTCTAGCATTATCTTCCCCTCTGAAGAAGAAGAATTTCGGATTGCAAGCACATCTTATGAAGATGTTGATTACCTTCACAAAGATGTTCAATCTTCATCCCCAGAAAATAACACTGGAATACGTTCACCTTTCTGTAGAAATTCAAGGACTGCCATCAATTGCATGAAACTGTGTAGAAGTTTTAGGGGATGTTCAGTGAGAAGGTCATTGGTTGGGTCATTTGAGGAGTCGCTGCTGTCTGGGCGATTGTCATCTGGAAAACTCAGTCAGGTTTTCTTTTTCGTTACATGACTTTCTTGCCTTTTTATTTTGTTTCTTCCAAATATTTTAGGGCTGAAGTTATCCAAGCTGAAGTAAGACTAGAAATGGCAAGAGTCTGCATATTTTGATTCAATTGCTAATATTATTTATTTGGTTTGAATTACGCAGGCCATAGATGGTTTTCTTGCCGTACTAAACATTATAGGAGGGGATTTTTCTCCAAAGTCACAGAAACTTCCATTTGCAGTAACCAGTGTTGATGGAGATAGCTATCTATTATACTATGCATCCATTGATCTTTGTGGGAATTCGCAATCAAACAAGCGCAGAGGGGAAAATGTGAAGAGAGCCCTTGGTTGTGATGATTCACAAATTGGCAAGAACCGTTTGCGTGTTCCTATGAAAGGACGTATCCAGTTGGTATATTTCTGTTCTCCTTTCAAATTAATCTGGGTTTTCTGATTTAGGATTGAGTTTCTTTTAAAATGCATTCAATTTTGATACATCATGATGTGTGATTTTTTTGCAGTACCTATATGGCTCCTTTTTAAAATTCCCAGCTAAATATTGCTGCTACTATTCTGTACTTAGTGTCTCTTCTAGTTAAATGTTTTCTAGCTCTGGGCTGACCTTATCTTTCAGTACCAGGGATGTCAGGACGACCTGGGTTATCTAATTGTTTTTTTCTAATTCAACAAGTCCTCCAATTTTATGAGCTTTTTATTCTTCAAGATGGGTAGTATATCTGGGGCAGATCAAGTCTTAACTCACCCATGGGCGAAATCACTCAATTTGAGACTCTAATTCTCAAGAACATATTACATCCTGGAAGCTAACGTACAAACCGTAGATCATAGCCCTTTTTGCATATCATTCATCCGCTGCCCCATATTATAGAGTTAAACGTTTCAATTTTTGCTGAAATTTACACTACCTCGCGGCTTCATTGAACTTACAAAAGTTTCCCATTAGCCACCGAACTTTGCTCCGTTAGTGTCCATTACTCACCGGGTGGATGGCATTTGAAATGATGCGTATGTGATGGATTGAAAAATGAGGTGGCCAGCTAATACCTTCTAAGTGTTATGTACTCCGTCAACTCAGACACGTCAAAACACGCATTTAACATTTATGAGGAAATGCAAAATCGAATGTCTGAAATCCAAAATCATAATCAATAATCGAAGCTCCATCGCCAAATCACCAAATCAATTAGATATTTGATTATTGATTCTGATTTTATTATACACCTCAGACATTCGATTTTGCATATCATACACTGCACTACTACTACTACTATTTAATAATGTATTCAGTCGTTCTAATTTTATTACCTGCTTCACATGATGGATTGAAAAGTCCTTGCAATCCGACCAAACAGCCATTGCCGAAGCAAATCAGAAGCTAAAGTGGTGGGAGAGGGTGTTTTGGTAATTTTAGTGGTGGATTCCATGAACGTTCTTGGAGGAAGCTCTGAGCACATCATTTCAGTGTTTTTAGGGTTGGGGAGTGCAATGAGAGCAGTGCACGGTCTAGGCTTCCTGGGCTTCTCCTCCCATTGAAATGGAACTGAAGCTAAAGTGTGCAGTGGTTGTGTTAGCATCCCTGAATGGTAAGGTGACTGTGTCATGGGTGGTATTGTTTTGGAGAAGAGTGGAAGCTTGGGTGTAGAATCTGAATCTTGCCCTACTTCAACGTAAAATCCCATGCTTATTTGTTTGTACCTTGATGGTGGTGGGGGCTGGATATATGTGGATTTTGGGTTGGTCAGAGGAGATTTGGTGTCTTACCTTAACATAGGGATGAAGAGTGAAAGGTGGACTAGACTTTTTGTAAAATAATTACAGAATTTGAGGCTCAATTGTTTTGGACGTGTGGTGATGACATGAAGCTGAGTTGGTGAAGTACAGAACACTTGGAAGAAGTTAACTGGCCACCTCATTTTTCCCTTCACCACGTATGCATCATTTCAAATGCCATCCACCCGGTGAGTAATGGACACTAAAGGAGCAAAGTTCAGTGGCTAATGGGAGGCTTTTATACTTTCGGTGAGTAAGCCGTGATATGGTGCAAAGTTCAGTGACCATTAAAACATGTAACTACCTATTACACCCTATCACTAGTGGTTATTCCTGTTTCGAAGCTATCATGATATGGCTGCCCACCTAATATCTGCTTCGAACAGACTTCATATCCGAAACGAATGAACAATTTGATTGGAAAGTCATTTAAAACTTGATCATCGGGTATTCATAATCTGGAGTAGGAGGATTCGAACTTTTCTCATTTTAACACCACCATGGTTCATTGCTGAAAGTCTGTTGTATGAATATAATTTGCAATTGAGAAATACTTTCATGGATAAAGCACTGAACTCTTCCATGGCAGTGTATCAAAGTTGTGAAACGTTTAAGAAGCACGAAATGCATGTTCCTGGTAATTTAAATTTTTTGTGTTTATTTTAGGTTCTTTCCATGTAGATCTATCCTTTGTCAATCATCTCTATAAAATTGCACGTGTTTTTGTTACGTGCTTCAACATATGTACAGTTGTTTTTGTCTGAGAGCCTACAAATATTTACTAACTATTTTGTTTTCCATAACAAAGGCACATGAATTTATTTGTTGTAGATTTAATTAGTGGATTTCTCAGATGCAGAAGGGTGTCTGATATATCCTTTCAAATCTGACAACAGAATGGAACAGGACACAATATACTAATATTAGCAAATATCCGTTTGCAAGGATTATATTACAATAATCAACACATAAATAGTTTTCTTTTTTCTTTTTTGTGACATTTGATTGAGATGTGTTCACAAGGGCATGATGACTGATTCAGTACTACAAAACGATTGATAGTTGTGGTTGGAACTGTAATGTTGATTATATATGTCAATTTTAAAATTACCATTTAATTTTTATTGAGGTAATGTCAATTACTGCTAAAATTGGAATTATTTTGTAGGTCCTGAGCAACCCTGAGAAGACACCCCTTCATTCCTACTTCTGTAACTATGACTTAAGCGACATGCCAGCTGGTACCAAGGTGAGGTCAAGAAATTCTTCTGCTCTTGAAGTTATATAGATGCTGATAATGTTCTGTTCGTGCAATTCCCATTTATTGCCCAAGGAAGTTAACGGGACTTCTTTTTTGGATAACTGTGTATAATAAAATTGGTATCTTTGGTTTATTATAGTCTCACAAATTTATGAAACCATAAAAAATGTTTGTCTGGTAGATTGGTAAATGCTATACTAATGCTTTATTTGCAAGAATAAACCAGTGAACACTGTGACGTCTGAGGGTATGGGTCCTCTTTATTCTGCCTTCCATCTGGTCTTTTAGGAACTTACAATATGAAACATTTGCACATGTGCCAATTGATATTTGGCATGGAAAAGAGTTGTCAGTTCCTGTCTATCTAGTTTTTGTGGAAGTGGGTCTCCTTTTCAAGCTGTATAGTGTAGGTCAACTGAGGGTATCTTTGTCAATTTTTTGGTAAATCGATGGCATCCTTTTCCTATAGAAACTACAACAAAGGAAAAAATAGTTTTGACTGGTATGATCAAAAGAAAGAATTTGAATACTCAGTTGCAGTAGAGCATGTTAAATGCACCATTTATGACTCATCCTTTAACTTATATGATAAGAGTCCATGGTTTCATGCACCCAGAGATGGATTTGAAAGAAGGTAAAGAAAAATGTTCTTACAGCTTGTGTTGGAGCTACATCTTCCGTGGTAATTTATGATTTTTTTGTCCCTACTGATATATAGTGCTGAGTTGTTTTAATGATATTGTTTTGTCCTTCTGAACCAGACGTTCTTGCGTCAGAAGGTCACCCTTGCTTCGTCAGGCTTGAATTCTATAAATGAAAGAGGAGAGCAGAAAAGTATTGATATAGAAGTTGAGGACAAGGTTTCTTTTGTCCCAAAGAGAAGTCATATTGACCTGCCAGACAACGGAAGACAAGTTTGTGGGTATAATTTATGTCAGAATGATCAGGTGGACACGTTCGATGAAACTGATAGAAAACACGAACATTCTTGTTCAAAGGTCAACAGAAATGCGACAGCTGTTGGTGCTTTACGTTATGCTCTTCACTTAAGATTTGTTTGTCCATTCCCAAAAAAATCTTCAAGGTCAGTCCAGAGATCAGATCCTTTATCAGCAAAAGAAAGCAGAATAGACAATGTAGGGGAACGGAGATTTTATCTGTACAATGATTTGAAAGTTGTGTTCCCCCAACGTCATTCGGATGCTGATGAGGGAAAGGTATGTCATATAGATTATTATATAGCTCCTTAAATTTACGTTGCAAGTGACCTGAGACTTGTTAATACATTTGGTAATTTCTCTTTGGACGGTTGATAATCTCTATTCCGTTTCCTTGTTGCTGCAGCCATTTTCACATTTTCTTTGTTTCATTTCCTCACTGTCTCCTTGTGTTTGAAATCTATACCATACTTGGGTTATAGGACCTGTGGTACATGTTCGGTACACATATTCAGACTAAATAGTGTAATAAGTAAGATTGTAGTTTATTTTTCGTCCTTAATACAGTCTAACACTATCTAATTCTCCCTATGCTGTTCTATCTTTTAGATCTAGTTGATGAATGATTCCTTTGATTTACCCCCATAGCGGAAAGAGGAAAGACACCCCATGCTTTGTGGTTTGGTGGGGGTTCTTTCTGAAGTTCTACAATAAAAGCAAGCACATACTCGATACATCCTTTTGGTTTTAGATTAAACAAACTTTAATTATCTTAGTTTTAACTTGATTTTACCTTTGACAAGATGAGAGTTGAGAATTCTCAATAGATCGAGGAGAATATCATTTGCAGTAGAACAAGTAAAAATTTATTTTCTAACACAACTCTTTCTCACCTGCATTGTTCTCATCATATACCCATAAAGCCTGAAAACTAATCTAAAGAATGGAGTAATTACGCTCTTTATGGTTCCAGCTATTTAATTCATTTGTTTTTTCGATAACCATATATTTGTGATGAATCATCTTCACATTGTTATGGAATTTTTCGCATGGTCATGGAATTTGCTTTAGAGTTTTTCAGTTAATTGAATGGCTCCTTTCAGAGAAAATGAAAGGGAGACTCAATTAGCGGTTTACAATCTGGTGGGCTGACATTCTCTCTCTCTCTTAATCTTATTGCAGTTGAAGGTTGAATACCATTTCCCGGAAGATCCAAAATACTTTGATATCAGCAGCTGAAATGAGTTCACTCAGACTGCATTTTCTACTTGTTGGCAGTAATAACCTGTATGGACGACAAAATAATAATAACATTAAAAGTTTTAGTGGTGGGATGGATAACTTATTTTTACGAAATTATCCTTCCTACCTCCTTGGTGCTGTTTATTCAGTCCTTTTTAGTGTATAAATATGTTCAGGGTTTGGAACACCGGTGGTGGCCCGAGCCTTAGATGGACCCCTTGATCCAATATCATGTGAGCGTATTTCCTCTCTTAAGTTTTCAATTGTATATATATGTTTGTGGAATTTACAAAAATGTCCAATTCCATATTTGTCAATTGAAAAGTGTCTAATTTTGATAATTCTTGCAAAAATGGCCAAATTTGGTATCAAAATGTCTATTTTATCTTTAACGAAAAATAAAGCAAATTTTTTTTTCGAGTGTTTCACGAATTTTTAGGCAACAAGTAGCTTTCATGGAAGTTACAATAATGCTAGTTATCACCTAATGGGTTCATTTGCTTACATTATCCACTATGTATTGACCAATGATTTTTGAAAAAATAAAGAAGATGAAGTTGCGAGTCCATTAACATGAACAAAGACCTATATGGTTTCAAATCATAAGAAAATCATTTTATTTCGTTTCGAGAGATATAACCTCATTCAAATTTGTGAGTTGATCAGGCTTTCCACAATTCTCGGTAGAAGGTAAGTTTTGTTTGAAATATTGTTTTTGTTGATAAGTAGTGTTTAATAAATATATATTAATTTAAATGGATTAGATAATCCAAATCAGGGACGGATATAGTGGACTAGGCCGGCTGTAGCCTTGTCTAGTCCCCAGCTCACTTCATTTTTTTTTTTTTTGGCTTATTAGCCTGACTTGTAATCTGGTCCTGGATCCGTTCCTGATCCAAACAATCAATCAATATTTGTTGTGAGATTATTGAAGCATTTAAAAAAATATATATTCATTGTGGTGTGTTCCTTAAACATTGTGTCACAACATTCCTAAATAACTTTTATAGATAGGAATTTAAGGTAGTTGTGGATTAACAATAGCAGTATTGATGGAATGAATTCTATGTAAAAATGCTTGTTGAAGTTGAAGAAGATGATAAATGCATATAGTGAAGTGTAATCCTGACATATCGTTTTCGACATTTTATAAACGTCGAGAATGACACTTTAAATGTAATTCTTGACATTGTTTCAAATGTCAAGAATAACGTCAAAAGCTTAGCAAAGTTAAGGAACATTGTGTTTAGCTTTTCATATATTGCGTGCGGGTAGCATATTCGATTTAGGTATTAGTGTTAGCTGATCTTATTTATGTTGATGGCATGTAGATATGGGAAATATTATGAGATTCTTTGTCTCGTACGGTGGTACATTCGTCAATATAGACGATGAGTGGAAGTGGTTTGGGAATTGAATAATATCAATTGTTATTCGAAGTGATATTAGATATGAAGAAATTGTCAATTGTTCTCTACATTTCATATAATTCTTGACATTGAAATGTGGTTTTCAAAATTTGGTATATGTTAATCTGGACACTGACATTTCATTTGTCAGAAACGAAAGTTCGACAATGGTAAGATATACAAAAATAATAAGAAACCATATACCAAATCTCATCAATAATAACATAACCGAATTGCAACACATACCAATAATCATACAACCAAAATTTATATCGATTTCAAGTGTACTTCCAATCACCAAAAAAAAATAATAATAATAAAAAATAATAATAATAATGATAAGAAGAAGAAGAAGAAGGATGGTACACAAAATGACAATGTAAGTAATTTCCCGAACATACAAGGTTCTATTCCGACAACATCTTCAACTTCATCAGTCCCTCTTTCCTCTTTTACGATCGGAGTGTGTGTACAGCGTCTTCGCAATTGCACTTGGCGTCTTCAGCCTCAAGGATTGAGGCCTATATGGAATTTGTCCATCAAATTTGTTGTATCGAGTGTTGGTCACTTGTGATATTTGAGTAGGAGCACGCTCTTCCAACACTCTATATCCATGTGAGGACGTCATCTACAAATACGTAAAACAAATAGAAGAAAGAATATGAGAATACTATTAAATTGGAGCACCATCAATTAAACATGTAACCAGATGCTCACATAGCAAATACATCTAATCAAGAGTTTCTTTACTTTGTAACCAAATAGGATCGAACATTGTCATCAGAAAATTGACAAGGCAGCCAAAAAAAAAAATCCAAGTGAACCTAAAATGTTAGAGAGACGTGTATCTGCAATCCAATCGCAAGTAGAGCTTGACCAGCCTAGCTTTCTCTTAAAAACGTTTTATATTATAGCTTATCAAGACAAATTGAAGATGATTTTAAGATATTACAGAATCCGGTGTAAGTAATTTTTCTCAACTGACCAAGCAATTTCCTCTTCCAATAATACTATTAACAAACAATATTGCAAGTCATCCCCATTCTAACAGTAACAGCACGGTTGCTCAATAATTCC